GAAGAACTCCAACCAGAAATTGTTGAGATGGAGTTTAGCGTTGCAAGATTATGATTTTTCTATCTCTCATATTAGGGGGTCTCAGAATATTATTGCTGATTCTTTATCTAGGATGTCCCATGACCAAGGCCCCACACCTTTGTTGTTGACTGAATGATCTAACCTGTTGTTTCCTTTCTGTAACCTTGAAATGTTTAAGCTGTGCCTGGAGGGGAGATGAAACCTTCATGAGTTGTATTGAGTTGGGTTATGCTTGTTTGGTATTCATTATGTAATGATGTATTCTGTGTCTGCTGACCTGTGTTAGATTTACTGTTCTCATGTAGATGAAAATTGAGGTATCCACCCCGAATTTCCATCTTAAGGGGGAGGGTGTAAAGGAAAATTGATCCCTATAGTTTCATGTTCCCCTTGTGTGATTTCTAGAAGTTTCATGTTCCCCTTAGGAATGTATCTGCCTCAACCCCTGGCGCCATATGGCTTGACCATTTGTCCAAATTGCCCCCATAAATCCAGATGCCTCAGTGAAGCATGTGGAAGGGCACGAAGGACCAAGGTAGGTTGGGCTGGTATCATCTGTCTGCGCAGGAGATGACTACTACTCCCAACCTACCCCCACCCATTCACCATGGGAACACCAAATTTGGGAAAGTACCTGTCTCATTGGATTGGCTGCTGGCCAACAGCTGATCATAATGAGATGGGGATTCAAATTGGCTAACACAGAGAGTGGAGCTCACTTTTTTGGCTTACTTCTGAATGTACCCTGAAATGCTGTATCTCCGTCGTGTGCTCTCTGGGAGAGAACAAAGGATTTCTGGAGCACATGACAGGGACTCTGGACAAAGATGAGACTTAGTAGAATTCATTCCAATGGACTGTCTTGGACTATTGACCCTCCTGAATGTTGGTAAATATACTTTATTGTATAGTTAGGCAAACTGTTGCTTAGCCTTTCTTATTTTTCTAATCTCCTATGGTCTGATGGCAAACTCTGCTAAATAAACTATATTCTGTTATAACTGTGTCTGATTGATGTACCTTTGACTCCAAGGCTTTTTCCTAGTGCCTGAGACTGCTTGTCCAATTGCTGCTACCTGGCTAAGAATATTCTTGTCTAAGTCCCAAAAGCCAGTCAAGAGTCTGAACCTTCTCTTGGACTGGAAGGGGACCATAGTGGAAGGTTCTGGTGGCATGTATCTGTAAGCCCAGAGAGACTACCTCTCTTGGGTTCTTGTGTAACTTCATTGTCTCAGTCCATGATCCTTCTCCTTTCCATTCTTGGATTGGTCTGGGGGAGAGACAGGATCATGACACATCCATCTGGCAGCCAGCCAGGAAGGTAGTGAGCTCAGTAGAATACCTGTCAGGGCCCACTTTGCATCCAGGGGTACACACAAGTATTTTGGTGTGCAGAGCAAATATTTAAAGCACATGGGAGACCTTTGCCTACATGGAAGTGGGGTGGAATGCCTCAAATAATTCCTTGCATCAAAAAGGAATAGAGGGACTGGATAGTGTGAGAGCCCATGTTCTACCTCTTATGTACATAGAACACCTTTTATATACAAGTGACACCACCATGTGGAACACAGACAATTCAGAGAGTCCTCTTGAGCAGAGTTACATCCTCCAAAGTCCATTGAAATGAACAGACTTAGCTCTGCTTAGGACAGCACTGTCCTTCACTAAACTTTAATTATATATCATACATGGTCAGAAAAACAAGCACAATTTCTGTTGGAATACACAAATATGGTACCACAGAGGGGCAATCCAATAGGCATGTAGATAACTAGATTAAGGTGAAATCGAGTTGGGATTTCCAACTTTTAAAAGTTGTTTAATAACAGATTTATTTATGGAATTTATATGCTGCTTATCTAGAGTCCTGCTAGAAGGCGGCTTACAAGTAAAAACGACACTAGATAAAAAATATCACAGATCCTCAAAATAAAAACAAAGTAAATCCATTAAAAACAACCACTGTTTTTAAACCTACCTTTCTGAATTACAAGTACCAGGATGGCTAACGGAACGTTTCATCTAGGGGGGAAAATGAAAATTAATTATCAGAATATTTCCTTTTGTTAGTTATTTCTTTGTATATTTTAATGAAAGATTCCTCTTTGCTTGTTTAAACAAATATAGATTTGGAAAAACAGAGACCGTCATGAAAGTATTTACGATACTTTGGTCGCAGTTCTAAGAACACTTTGCGGAAGTATGCCTCACTGAATAAAACAGAACTTATTTCTGAGTAGATCAGCTTAGGATTCCTCCCTTATTCTGCCATTATCCAGAAATTACTTGGCACAGCATTTATACCAGCATTTGTGTTTATAATCAGAGCTCTCAATCGGCAATGTTCAAAGCAAAGCAGAAAAACATAAAAACATAATTTAAACACAGTAACGAGCTCAGACGCAGTAGATTAGGAGGAGGAGCAGTAACGCAGCCTTTATAAAGTGGCTTGGAGGGGGGAAAGAAGTCTTAACTTTGCTCCAAAATAATAATGATGATGATGAAGATGATGATGATGAAGAAGATGAAGAGGAGGAGATTGGATTTATACCCTGCACTTCATTCGGAATCTCAGAGCTGCTTACAAACTCCTTTCCCTTCCCCTCCCCACAACAGACACCCTGTGGGGTAGGTGAGGCTGAGAGAGTTCTTTCAATTACTGCCCTTTCAGGATAAGCTCTTGTCAAAACTATGGCTTGCCCAAGGTCACCCAGCAGTTGCAAGTGGGGAATCAAACCCGGCTCTTCCAGATTAGAGTCCGCGCACTTAACCACTACACCCACAGTAGCAGGGCTACAACAGAGAAGGCCCTGCCTCTTGCAACAGATTCCAGAAATGGACTGTCAGCTAATGTGATTGTCTCAAATAGGTGTTACATGAGAATGACAGTTTTAACCTGACACCACAGAAGGAGCAGCATCCCCCCCACAGCCAACCAGCCCACTTGACTAATCAACAAAATGGTCAGGTGGATCTCCCCAAAAAGGGAACGAGCAACTGACACAGGAGGGGAGTATCTCTTTTTCTCTCTGTCTACCACCACCATGGATGTCCCATTTTTTTTTCTGGATAGACCAATTACCTGCCCCATTTGCTCCATATCTAATCTGAGAGACAATAGGAACTGTGCACCACAAGCCTACTTATTCATGCTCTGAGGAGAAACTATATTTGCAGGCGTTTGTTGCGGTTTTCCTACTCTGGGGCTTTAAGAGCTCAAAAGAAAGCCCAGTTTCCGTCCTCTTCTACTGATCTCAGTACAAGGCCCCTTGCCAAATGAACTTTTCCTTCTGCGTTATGTCCTGATCCTAAGAAGAGATACACCATTTCATGTTAATGGGCTTAAAAGGATGTAACTCTGCTTAGGGCTGCACCATAAGGGTTTTTCAAATATCCAGATTTACTATCACGTGTGCAAGTCAGGAGGTACAGTCAATTCTGTCACTTTTGTGCACACCCCTGCCATTTCCTAACTGTTTTATATTTAATCGTAATGGGCTGGATCCGAAGGTGCTGCCCTGCTGGCATAACCACACAATGTCAATGTAAAGGCACTTCTGCCCACTTCCAGGTAGTTTTAAACAAGGAGAGATCACGGGATGAGGTGAAACCATCAAACTATATACAATCGCGATATGATTAATACATTTAGTGTAAACAGTCTTATATTTTATAATTAGTGTTAACATCCTATGTGTCAAAGGGTCTTGAAAGCTCTGAGTAGCTTTACTGAATTTTGAGATTTGATTTGGTGTAGTGGTTAAGTGTGTGGACTCTAATCTGGGAGAACCGGGTTTGATTCCCCACTCCTCCACTTGCACCTGCTGGATGACCTTGGGCAAGCCATAGTTCTGTCAGAGCTGTTCTTGAAAAAAAGCAGTTTCTGTCAGAGCTTCCTCAGCCCCACCTACCTCACAGGGTGTCTGTTGTGGGGAGGGGAAGGGAAAGGAGTTTGTAAGCCGCTCTGAGACTCCTTTGGGTAGTAAAGGGCGGGGTATAAATTCAATCTCTTCTTCTTCTTCTTGAGATGACAAATGATTTGAGAATTCGGATACAGAATTGAGAGTCAGTATGACCAACCAAAAGAAATGGCTGTGGGCAGTGTTCCCTCTAAGCTGAGTTAGTGTGAGCTAGCTCACAGTTTTTTAGCCTCTGGCTCACACATTTTTGTCTTCGCTCAGGAAGGATGGCTCCAGAGCAAACTAATTTATGCCATAGCTAAATTGCTCGCTCACCAACTTTAATGCCAGTAGCTCACGAAGTAGAATTTTTGCTCACAAGGCTCCACAGCTTAGAGGGAGCAACTGGCTGCAGGTGAGGTTTGGTATAGGTCTGTTTTTCATGGAAGTGATGGGATCCTATTTCAGCTATGCGGGATCTGCCTTGAGAAAGCAACGAAACGGAAGTCACAGCCATTCCATTGGTGGAGCTGCAGGGAGTGCAATGTGCAAGTGAAATATGGACATTAATTGATTTAAAACCTTGGGAAGCCTTTCAAGACATTTGGCACAGGCACATTACCTTTTCTATGCAATTGTTAGAACGATGTTAACATTAATTATGATATATTGATTAGACTGTTTACACTAAATGTATTAATCATATCACGGCTGTATGTAGTTTGATGGTTTCTACCTCCGGGTGGTAGCCGAAGATCTCCTGGGATTACCACTGATCTTCAGGCGATAGAGATCAGTTCCCATGGAGAAAATGACTGCTTTGGAAGGTGGATTCTATGGGGTTATACCCCACTGAAGTCCCTCCCATCCCCAAACCCCACCCTCCTCTGTCTCCAACCCCCATATTTCCAGGTATTTCCCCACCCGGAGCCGGCACCCCTACTTAGAACTCTGCTGTAGACCGGATTGTTCCACTTATTCCCTCTCAAAAGACCGGATTGTTCCACTTATTCCCTCTCAGTCCCCCCCCCGTTCAGCCCTCAGAGAAAAAAGAATTATTAAGAACAGCCAACCATTTGTACAGGTGAAGGAGACACGGGAGAGACGAGGGGGTCCGGGTGAGGCAGCTGAAACATCTCCGGCTTAAACTTGGCATTAGCTATTTTCACACATTCTTCCAGGGTCGTGATAAATGTGTCGCAGGTGGCACTGAGCAAGGAGGAAGCTTCATTCATGTTCTGCAAATACACACACAAAAAGCCTACATTGGAAACCAATGAAGAAAAATACAAACCAACAGCTTTGTGGATGCGACGGCAGCATGTGTTCCAACTTAACTGACCAACAAGTTTTTGTAAAGTTCCTCTTTGCTGGTAGTGTTGCCATAATTTGACAAATGCCAAGCATTTGGATAGGGAGCAACACAGAAGTCAAGTCATCACAGGCATTCTGGTTATAAGTGGGAGGACTCACAGGAAAGGGAAAATTTCTCATATCCCCATTCCCTCTCTCCTCCTTGTTTCCCCCCAGCTAGCACTGCATTCAAACCACTTCCCTTTCATTCACTCCCTCCTGACCAACTTTCTTTTCCCATTTCTCCCATGGCAGTCTCTGCCTCCTCTCACTCCCTCACCCACCCTTTCGTTTCTCCTTCCCCTTTTTACCTTTTTCTGCTCCTCCCCTCCCCCAGTTTTACCTTCCCTTTCTCCTATCTTTTCCATTTTCAAATCTGTTTTTCTCTCCCCCCCCTCCCCATGTACTGACACTAACTTAGTCTTGGAATCCTCAGCAATGTTGGTTGGAGGTTGCCTAGCAACCCCAATGGTCGCTGAGATCTCACAATGTACTCCTGAGAGGGCACACTGGCATGCTTTTTTTTTCTATGATGTTTGATTTTTTTTTTAACCCTACAATGTATTTTTTTTAACATTTCATATTTTTCTAGGGCTTTCCTTGAGCCCTAGTCTGAAGACATAGTTCACAATAAGATGTTATGACCAGCAGGGTTAATAGCTATGTGACAGAGCCTCTGATGTACACGGAGAAGGTCCTGAGTTCCAACACCAGCACCTCCTCCAGTTAAACAGTTCAGGTAGCAGGTGATGTGGAAGGTTGAGACCCTCAAGAGCCAGTGCCAGTCTGAGTAGAGAAAACTGACCTTGATATAAGAATGAGTCTGACTCAGTGCAAGCCAGCTTCATGTGTTCAAGTAACTCTTTTTCAGTGAGATGGAAGAACAATTTCCCCCTTAAACTCTTCATTTTGAACAACTCCCCCCCCCCAGCCCTCAGAGTATCCTAATATCTGTCCTGCACCCAACACCATTTAAGCCTTCAGCACATCCTGTATTTGATCTTAAGACCGCCAGCCGCAGAGGGGGTTTTCCCACTATGTTTGGAAACATTTCTTCTCTCCCAATGACTTTTGAGTCTTTAGTAATGAACAACCTGATGAAGAGTTCTTGCGAATTCAACAGTTTATACACTGTTTTATGGTATGTTGGTTGACCGTAATAAAACAAGTATTACACAATCATCATTTCTGGAATTTTTCTGTCAACACTTAAAGAACATCGTATGAATGCAATGAGTCCAGTACAACTTTGCAATATAGAGACATCAAGAGAAAATTCTGTTCAGTACTCAGTGACATGAATATTCGCCTTCTTATGTCACAGACCCACTAACACTCCCTACTTCCCTCATGGTTGCTACAGCACTTTTTTGTCCATCCCCACCTTCAGAGGTGAGGCGAGTCGATTGACAACTGAAAAGGGCATTTTCTGGGGTTGTGCCTCACTTTTGGAACAGTGCTCCCCCCCCCCCCCCCCCCCGGCTCTCTTGGTGCCTACTTTACTTTTAGGTACCAGGCCAGAATGTATCTTTTTAACCAGGCTTTTAATGAGGCCTTTTTATTTCCAGCTTTGGTCTGCTTCTGATCTGAAGTCTGTTTTATAGATAGTTTTATGCTGTTTATGTCCCTGGGCTTGTTTTAACGGCTTGTTGTTTTATATGGTGTTTTCCCCACCATAGAGAACAATGGAGGGAATGGGGGCAACCTGTTTGGGGGCCCATAGAATTGGACCCCCTGGTCCAATGTTCTTAAAACGTGGTGGGTATCTTGGGGAGAGGCTCCAGCAACTACCCTATGAGTTTGGAGCCTCTCCCTCGAACCCCCTCCCCTCCAGCCCCCAGAATATACCCTGTGTTTTCGCCATTGACTTCAATGGCCCATAGGATATAATGGGGCTGAACTGTCGCCGAAATTTGGTGGCAATTCGGCAGCAAGCCGATTCGGATGAGAGAATCTCAATCAGCCCGCAGCAGCCCAAAAGGAGCCCGAATGGGCCATTTTCAGGGGTGCATTCAGTTCAGACGAACCGAAAGCACATCCCTACTCCCTGTTATCAGTCTCTACATGCAGAGGATGTTTGCTTGAATTGGAAATACCTTGTTTAAGGTGAATAAATATCTGATACCTCAATGCTTGGCGACGAGTGACTCTCATCATGGTGAACATATTCTTGTATCGTATGCACTTGCTGCATTAAGAGATCACAGTAGAGGCGAAGTTCAGACATTTTGGTTTTCAGAGATTCATTGGTTTCATTAATTTCTGCAAGTCCAGAGGAAAACGGAAACTCAGTGTGACCAGGGCTTACAAATTCCACCCTCACATCTTAAATTTAATTATTTTGAATAAAAGAAGTGACACATTCTTAGCCTTCCTGCACACTGATAAGCGTCAGGAAATCTGTCCATTCCCAATCCCTTCCCCTCTGGTTTGCTAAAAAGCTAGTAAGACACAGGGAGGGGAAAACATACCTGACCCAGTAACTGGAATCAAGAACCACAAGGGTAAGAAAGAAGCCTGATAAGAGGGCCAATATGAAAAACCTAGGGTATACTTGTTATGTACAAAAATACATGTATTCAGAGGTCATTTCGTGGGGGAACGCGGGGGATCGCAGTTCCCCCGGGTGAGGTACGGGGGGGCGGGGCACATGACGAAGCCCCACCCCCCGCTTCCGGCCGCCCCGCTTCCGGCCATCATTCAGCCAGGAGGAGGCAGGAGAAGAGGGAGGGTAAGTTGCTTCCTCCCTGCCTCTCCCCACCCCTGCCTGCCTGGGGCCAGGGAGGGCCTTTGCAGGGGTTTTTAATATTGGCCCTCTTATCAGGCTTCTTGCTAAAAAGCTACACATACAATGTAGGCTACACAGATTTTTGTAGCCTCTTAAGTCGCTCGACACGTAGGGTGAATATTTTTGCATTAATGGGCAGAGCTATTCTGAAATCACGTATGTCAACTATATTTATCAACCCGTGACACCTAAAGGTGATCGCAAACTCTTCAATAATCACTATAATCTCCTGTCTGCACACAGGAACGCTCATGTGCAAAGACGAGTCGCATGTTAGCAAACAGAAAATTGTAAGCTGGATCCTGTGATGTGTGGCGCAGAAGGTGCTCACAGATGTGGGTTTTCTCCACCACTCTCTTCTCCCAGCGGCCCAAGCCATCCTGAAAGCTAATGCTGAAGACTGTGGGACGCACATGTACAAAAAGCCACACAGCCCAGGGTGCTGCAGTGAAGAGACGGAAGCCACCTGGAACCTGCCCTCCTTCACTCTTGTGCCAACCGAGCCTCCTGCACCCACAGGCGCACCACTGGCAGAAGACAGAGCAATTTTGCCCTGTTCCCTCTCCTCACCGTAGTCTCACCAAAGCGACGTGACTTTTTGTCTACACGGGCCCTGCAACCTCCAGCATCAGCTTTTTGGAGGTCTTGGGAGGCTGCTGGGGGATGGGAGAAGGAAAGAAAGATCTGAACCTGTAAGTGCTACCGTGTTCGATCTTCATAGGATTCATCCCACTGTTTTAACACAACATATTCATAAAAGCGGCTAATGGATTACACAAATGTAGGGCAATCGGCCAATTAAATATTTTCAGTGAATTCACTTTACTGGAAGCTGTAGCCCATACTGGGTCCCTTTGAGTCCGTACGGCTGACTAGGACCACTGGAACATCGCTTTTAAGACATGCAGTCACAGCGTTGGTTTTATTTTCTGAATGTGGGGATACTTCAAGGGAGGGAATACCTGCCTTTGAAAAGACACTGCCCAGCCTACGAACGGCACATTGCAACCAAACATCATGTTACAAGCCCAACAGCCTTTAGGCTGTAGAAAACAGCAAGAGTCCAGTTAGCAACTTAAAAACTAACAAGATCTGTGGCAGGGTATGAGCTTCTGTGCAGTCACATGGCTCACTTCTTCAGCCTTTAGGCTGTCATCTTTCATTCATTAATACGCATGTAAGGATGCAATCCTATGTATCCTTAATCAGAACCAGGTCCCATTGAAAACAGTGGGTCTTAATTCTAAGAGAATACGGTCATGGTTGCAATGATAAAGAATGGATACAAGCACATGGAACCGGACACAGGGCGATGGAGGGTTTACTCTTTAAAACCACCCCTCAAAAATAAAAATCTACAATTGACATGCATCAAAACTGTCACCCAAATGTCAGAGTTAAAAACTAGGTTTTTGATAAGCAAAAAAGGTTTTGTAAGCCCTGATATCCCATACTTTGTAAGATCTGAGTACCTTTTTCTTTCTTTGTTCTGGAGTCTGCCAAACTCGCTTTTGAGCTTCCCAGTGCTACCAGCCACCTCTGTCGTTCAGCCGCATTGACGGCTTTCATGTAGAAATGCTGTTCCCCTGGGATTATTAACTCCATTCTTGTGCTGTCTGTTGGATGAACTAACAACAAAGACAGAAATAAAAATGAAAACCTAATAACAGTGTAGATCTTCAAATATTGCTTGGAATAATAGAGATATTTTCCAAAAGTAACTTTTCCACTCCAAGGCATTTTTCAGGTACAATGCTCATTTATTTTAGTACTTTTACCCTAATTATTTTCCCAAAACACCCTTTCAATAAATAAATGGCACCAAACAAACAAAAATTCACCAGTATTATAATAGGCTTGCAAATTCCCACTTGCCTGTTCACCCAGGGTGAGCAGAAATTGCCTGTGGATAGTCAGATGTTACTCTAAGATGAGCCCTATGCCTGCACCATGAAGACTGGTTCTTTTAAACAGAGAGAAGCTGTTGCATGCATTCAATATAATAAATCATGGGTTTTCAACCTTTTTGAGCCTGCAGGCATAGCAAAATGGGTGTAGCCACAAAATGACTGCCACAGAAGATAATAGGGTTGTGAGTTCCAATTGTCCTGGCAGTTAGGGGTGGGAGGGAGCCATCGAGGAGTGTGGGGGCAGGGCAACATCATGTTGGCGCAATGACATCACACAAAAGTGATGTCATCATGCCGGGGACATCATATGTTGACACTCTAGCATTCTGGCTGAAACTCTATGGTTACCATAGAGTTTTTGGTTAGAATCCTATATCGTTGATGCATGATGTCCCCAGTGTGATGACATCACTTCTGTGTGATGTCATCACGCCAACCACATTGACCTGCGATGAGCCTCTTTGGGGGTGGGGCAACCTCCACTGGCCAGCTGGTCAGCAACAAATTGGAGACCCAAAGATGAGGCGATTCCTGGCCGGACCAGGGGGCTGGCAACCCTGGGTGATATTGCCAGCCACAATATGGCTGCCACAGCTTACCTTCAGTTACACATTGAAGATCTTTGCGGTGTGATGGCACTTGCTGCCAAAGCAACATTTAAAAAAAAAATCTGCACAGCCAATCAATTCTCCAATGGCCAGTCAAAAGTCTTGCTCGGCAAAAGCCCCACCCGGCCCCACCCGGCCCCACCCACTGACTAGAAACACTTGGCAGGCACCAGAAAAGGCGCTGGCGTATGCCACTGCACCCCACAGGCACCACATATCCAAGACCCTTGTAATAAATGCTTCCTTCAACTTAAAAAATACACAGACTCCCAGTCAATGCACCCACTGAGCCTGTATTCTCCATTTCAGTACCTAAATAGGACTGTGACAGCAGAAGCACTAGTAAACCTCTCCACGCTATTTCTCCCTCCTGTTTCTAAAAAGAGGTCTGATTCCCAAACTGCAGCTTTCACCCTTTTAGTCCTTACTCGTGTTTTTTTATACTCCTCAATTTTATTTCTGTTTTATTTACAACATTTTTATCCTGCCTTTCTGCCCAGTCAAAGTCACCAAGGCGGCTTAATTTACCTATATATCCTCTTAAATTGGAAGATAATTTGGAATTTTGAAATTTCTTTCAGTTGTTGGCGTACCACAAATTACTAAAAGCTGACTGTAGCTTTGATAACTTCCAGGTTTGATGAGCAGGATGGACTTTACACGGGGCTTCCCTTGAATGTATTTATTTCGGGCATTTATATGCTGCCCCTCCAGAGGCCTGCTCAAGGTGGTTTCAAAGTAAAAACAATAACATAGCATCATAAAAACACCGCATATCATCAACATAAAAAACAAAACAAGGCATTAAGAAGCTATCTGAAACAAGACAGGGGCATAAAAACAGCATAAAGCAACTATTGAGCAAAAAAACAACAACAACCCCAAATACCTCAGATCAGTAGCAGATCATAAAACAGCTAAAAAAGATTAAAAATCCATGGCTAAAAACTTGGATTTGAAGAAAGGTCTTGCCCCAGCGCCTGTATGGCAAGCACCAGGTGAGCCTGAAGGCAGAGAGCATTCCAAAGGCGAGGTGCCACCACTGAAAATGCCCTGTCTCTAGTTGCCAGCCACATCACCTCGGAAGGCGACAGAGACCAGAGCTTTGGAGGCAGATCTTAACTAACACACTGGGTAGTATAGAAGGAGATGGCCCATCAAATAGACAGCTTGGGAGCTTCAGTTAGTGCAGCTGAATATTGTGACACACAAAATATATTTCACCTATGTTATATCAACTGCATTGGTGTCTGTTTGCTCCCAGGCCCAGTTCAAAGAGCTGATACATGACGAGTTTCTGATTGCTGGACTTACCTTTGATTTCACACACTGCCATCTTTATGCTTCCTTTACTGCCCTTGCAAACGTCATCCTGTGAATCGTAGTAAGACAATATCCCGTTATCTAGAACAAACCAGCGAGGCTGCCAACCTGGGAAAGAACCATAAAGAGCATAAAGCGACGTCAGTCTTATTCTGTTTCATTACCGATATAATCTCACACGAACAGTAGCATTACTGAGGTCTTTACTGGAAAATAGGGCCAATGCTTATTCAAAAAACTTTCAGAAACAAAACAGAGATACTTTTTAAAAATACACAGCTAATGATAATCTTGGAGCTGCGGTGGCTCAAGTGGTTAAGACGCTGAACTGCAGGCTGTGGAAGGTCGGTAGTTCAGCAGTTCGAGACCCGAGTGTGCCGCATGACAGAGTGAGCTCCCGTCTCTAGTTCCAGCTCCTGCCAACTTAGCAGTTCGAAAGCAAGAAATTGCAAGGAGATAAATAGGTACCACTTTGGTGGGAAGGTATCAGCGTTCCGTGCGCCTTGGTGTTTAGTCATGCTGGCCACATGACTACGGAAATGTCTTCGGACAGCGCTGGCTCTTCGGCTACCTTTACCTTTTTAATGATAATCTTACCTATATACAGGGCTATTTTGGGGCAGGAACGGACAGGAATGGAGTTCCGGCTGGCTTCAGAGTTGGCCACGCCCACTACAGCCAAAACCTCTGCGTGCCTGGCTACAGAGGAAAGGCATGGAGAGTAACACACACACCTCGGCAACTGCGAGGCAGGTAGGCCGGGGGGGGGGCTGGAAGGATCGAGGAGGCATTTAAATGCCTCCCCATGCCTTCCCCAGCCTGTCTAAGGGCCAGCTTGCCCGGGCTCCCCGCAGCCGCAAGATGCCCGAGCAAGCCAAGGGAAGGCCGTTTAAACTGCCTTTCCTTCCCTTCAAGGGGAGGCTTGCCCAGGCTCCCCAAGGGAAGGTGTGGGGGCATGGCCTAATATGCCAATGAGCTGTGCTGTCAGGGGTGTGGCCTAATATGCTAATGAGTTTCTGCTGTCGGGTGTGGCCTATTATGTTAATGAGTTCCTGCTGGGCTTTTTCTACAAAAAGAGCCCTGCTATAGCTGATACTCACAGGACTATCATTTCCAAACCTATCTAAATAGAGTTACCACCTCCAAGTTGGGAAATTCCTGAGGATTTGAGGGCAAAGCCTGAGAAGGGTGGAGTTTGGGAGGGGGGAAACGACCTCAGCAGTGTACAATGCCACAGAGTCCACCCTCCAAAGCAGCCATCTTTCTCCAGGGGAACTGATCTCTATAGTCTGGAGATCAGTTGTAACTCCTGGAGATATTCAGGCCCTACATGCACATGGACAACCCCACTTTTGTCTCCTCGGGTAAATACTTACACAGAACACAGTTTGAGTCCAGGGGCATCTCTAAGACCAACAAAGTCTTATCCCGGGTATAAGCTTCCATATGTATGCCCACTTCTTCAGATACTTAAAACAGATCCTTAAACGTTCTTCAAATACTCAAGTAGCATTTGAAACACCCAAAAGATAAAACGTGGAGATGTCCACCATGCTTATGTTGTGGGTTTGACCAGTCTTTGCCATTCACTTTTACAGACAAAGCTCGGTCAAGAAAAATTAACACCCCCTATGTATCTGAGGCTGCGGTCACACACACTAAATAATCCACTTTGAATCCACTTTCAAACTGGACTTTTACTATGCAAACTGGCAAAATCCAGTTCGAAAGTGCATTGAAAGTGGATTATTTAGTGTGTGTGACCGCAGCCCGATAAAGTGATCTCTGACTCAGGAAACCTCATGAAGGAGTAACTGTTGTTAGTCTTTAAGGTACTGCCAAACCCCTGCTTTATTTCGCTTCTACAGACTCAGGGATCATTTCCTGCCGGAGCGCCCCAGAGCTTTGCTCCAGCAGGAAGGAGCCCAGGCCCCGCCCCTCCGCCTTTCCTGGCCCGCCCAGACTCAGGAACTGCGGCAGGTTTAAATCCCTGGCTTCCCAGCCCGATCTCCTCCAGGTACCCCACAGCCATGGGGCACCTGGAGAAGATCAGGCAGGAAAGTCAGGCATGTCTGCCGCCCTGCCCTTCCCTGCTCCACCCAGCCCGCCTCAGCGGGTTGGCTTGAGAGGGGAAGAGGAGGCGGGCAGACATGGCCCCTTTTCCCCTGAGCCTCTCTACTTTTGCGGAGAGATTCAGGGAAAGGTGGGGGATTTAAACTCATTTGCATGCCTTAACTCATTTTAAACATGCCTGCCCTTTTTCAGGGGGTGTGGCATATGCAAATGAGCTATGCAAATGATCTCCTGCACCTTTTTTCCTAGGAAATGACCCCTGTACAGACTAATACGACAACCCATTTGGAATGTTCCCATTCACCGGTTGTTCTTGGGAGCAGCTGAAGCAGAATATGTAAGCACTTTTCAAGAATTAAGCCTCCTAAGATTAATACCTCAGTGTCAGTTGCTTCCCCAGTCAGTAATGTATTTGTCTAAAGGGAAACTCTGTAAATCTGTTGTAAGTACAGTCTGACCAATACCACCTTCTTCAAGGAAGCAGCAAGGAGAAAAAAATGTGGCTATGAGGCAGGCCAACTACAACTAAAAGCTACCCTCCATTGTTGTGAGGAAGCCCATATTATTTAGTGTGTGTGACCGCAGCCCGATAAAGTGATCTCTGACTCAGGAAACCTCATGAAGGAGTAACTGTTGTTAGTCTTTAAGGTACTGCCAAACCCCTGCTTTATTTCGCTTCTACAGACTCAGGGATCATTTCCTGCCGGAGCGCCCCGGAGCTTTGCTCCAGCAGGAAGGAGCCCAGGCCCCGCCCCTCCGCCTTTCCTGGCCCACCCAGACTCAGGAACTGCGGCAGGTTTAAATCCCTGGCTTCCCAGCCCGATCTCCTCCAGGTACCCCACAGCCATGGGGCACCTGGAGAAGATCAGGCAGGAAAGTCAGGCATGTCTGCCGCCCTGCCCTTCCCTGCTCCACCCAGCCCGCCTCAGCGGGTTGGCTTGAGAGGGGAAGAGGAGGCGGGCAGACATGGCCCCTTTTCCCCTGAGCCTCTCCACTTTTGTGGAGAGATTCAAGGAAAGGTGGGGGATTTAAACTCATTTGCATGGCTTAACTCATTTTAAAAATGCCTGCCCTTTGTCAGGGGGTGTGGCATATGCAAATGAGCTATGCAAATGATCTCCTGCACCTCTTTTTCTAGGAAATGACCCCTGTACAGACTAATACGACAACCCATTTGGAATGTTCCCATTCACCAGTTGTTCTTGGGAGCAGCTGAAGCAGAATATGTAAGCACTTTTCAAGAATTAAGCCTCGTAAAATTAATACCTCAGTGTCAGTTGCTTCCCCAGTCAGTAATGTCAGTAAAGGGAAACTCTGTAAATCTATTGTAAGTACAGTCTGACCAACCTTCTTCAAGGAAACAGAAAGGAGAAAAAAAATGTGGTTATGAGGCAGGCCAACTACAACTAAAGGCTACCCTCCATTGTTGTGAGGAAGCCCAACCTTGTGACCAAGTACTGTTACCAACCTCCAGGGAGGGCCTGGAGTTCTCCAAACTAGAGATCAGTTCCCGTGGTGGACTCTACAGAATTACATCTCTGCTGAGCTTCCCCCCTAAACGCCATCCTTCCCAGGCACTGCCCCCCAAATCTCCAGGAATTTCTCAAGCCAGAGCTGGCAACCCCAACAATGCAACCTTCTTCCAATTTCAGCTGCCTGCTTTGTCTGAAATTCTTTTTTTTTTCACACGTAGACTCATCCTGCCTCTATCTATCCTTTTGACATGGAATACACAAAACAACATGACCAGAGATTATTGCTAATTGTAAAGGGGTTAACAGTGCAATCCTAAACAGAGGTCCACTCTTCTAAATCCACTGAAGTCAATGGGCTTAGAAGGGTGTCACTCTGCTACAGGACTGTATTATAAACTAGCAGTGTGGAACAAGGACGTTTGAATCCAACAGAGTTGTAAAATCTGCTTTCCCAACATTTTAAAGGAAATCGGATAAAGATATAGGTCACGATAGCAAGACAAAACAACCCAAGAGAGATTCATAGGTTTGGGAAAGACTGGTTCCATTATGTAAGTGTGCGGCAGAAATTCGAGCTTGACTCAAGCAGAGAAGCATCGAAGCAGAGCCCTGCAGAATCAAACAAAGCCCATGTCTCTGCAGTTGAAGGACACCTGATTAAGCAGTTTACGCAACCTAGAATTGAGCCGCACCAAGGGAACACACAGCCCTATTGTTCTGGCGGTGAGGAAACCTTTTCAACACGGTGAAAAGGACATTATCTTTTGCCATCCCCGTAGATGACCCTATAAAGCAAGAAAATGAACAAGGATAAAAAGTGCTCATGAATGTGTAGAAACCCAAGTTCAGTGATTCATTTTACACATCTTCTATTACCTTTCTGAAAATTAAGGAAAAGGGCAAACGTGTATTTTTGCTCCATTTTTAATAATGAAATGGCCCTCAAGTCATCTTATTTAAATTGGTGTATAATATAATTTCATCATCTAGCTTTTGTACACCCAGTCCCTGCTGCAGTCAAAGATTCCTAATGAAGGTCAAAAACCCTAATATAACTCATGAGCCATACACTAAATATTTCCATAAGGTTTTTATGCTCACAAATTAACAACGATACAGCTTCATAGCCCATGCACATCAGTAGGAAGTGGGGAAAGAAGCTTCACTTCATCAAGGAAAACCCTTTTACTACGTGTGTTTTTTTTAGAAACACAGCCTATTTTAATAAAGAAAAAAGTGACAAGCTCAAACTGCAAACAGATTAGTTTTTAAATTATCCCAATGTAATTCCTTTTATCTGATTCATTTATAATTCTCCTTTCTCAACAACTGGGACCCAAAGCAGCCAATATTGTTCTCCAGTCCACAACTCCATTTTATCCTCACAACCAGTGTTCCCTCTAAGCTGAGTTGGTGTGAGCTAGCTCAGTTTTTTAGCCTCCGGCTCACACATTTTTGTCTGAGCTCAGGAAGGAAGGCTCCAGAGCAAAACTAATTTATGCAGGAGCCAAAATGCTCACTCACAACTTAACATAAAACATAAGAACATAAGAGTTGCCA